GGGAGTATTTCAAATGTTTTTCTACAGCTGGCCCTGAACTGAGTCCAGCATCCTGGGCTTGGAACAGGCTAGATTGACCTCCAGGGTACTTGAGTGAAAGTTCAAAAGCGAAAACAAGCCACCTGCAAGGGGAATGGGAGCATTTGCCAATGCACGCGCAAAGGGTGGTTCCGCCCAGTTTGAAATGTAAGTGGTCGGAACCGCCCATTTGCCCAATGTGCGCTTTCAGGCCTGCCCTGAATTGAGTGCAGCCTCCTCGGCTTGGCATGGTCAATATTTCGTACCAATGTACCCGTCGAGAGGCTGTATGGCCTGTACAAGCAGCCTAGACAAGCAATGGGAGCATTTTCGAAAATTTCTCTTCCCGGCCTACAGCTGGCCCTGGGACTGGCCCCAGCATTCCTGCCTTGCGATGGGCTAAACAGTGCCGATCTAAAAGCGAGTAGCCCGATACAAACAGCTGGCAAGGGTAGCTGGAGGATTCGCAAATGGGTGAGGAAAGGGTGGTTCCGCCCAGTTTCAAATGTCAGTGGTCGGAACCACCCACTTTCCCAATATGTGCTTTCGGGGCCTACAGCCCCCCTGAGGCCGGGTACAGGGTCCCGGAGTATATATACGGGAGGTACGCATCCATGGATCCCTGAGACAAGCTGGATTGCGCAAAGAAGCAGCCTAGAGCAGTAATGGGAATATTTCGAAAATTTTCTTTCCTGGCCTACGGCCGGCCCTGGGACTGGGCCCAGCATTCCTGCCTTGCGATGGGCTAAACAGTGCCTATCTACAAGCTAGTAGCCCAATACGAACAGCTGGCAAGGGTAGCTGGAGGATTCGCAAATGGGTGAGGAAAGGGTGGTTCCGCCCAGTTTCAAATGTCAGTGGTCGGAACCACCCACTTTCCCAATATGTGCTTTCGGGGCCTACAGCCCCCCTGCGGCCGGGCACAGGGTCCCGGAGTATATATACGGTAGGTACGCATCCATGGATCCTTGAGACAAGCTGGACTGTGCAAAGAAGCAGCCTAGAGCAGTAATGGGAATATTTCGAAAATTTTCTTTCCCGGCCTATGGCCGGTGACGTGCCTGCGGACGGAATAGGCGCGAGCTAACACAAAATGGGGGTCAGCTACGACCTAAAACAGTGCAGGAATAAGTGTGATGTGCGAGGAGGTCCACAAGATTCAGTGCCGTGGCAGGCAGTAAGAAATGATGATTTTAGACGTGGGACGAAGTCGAGGGCGGCGTGGGACGGATGCGACGAAGCAGAGGGTCGAAATACCCAAGTAGAAACGAGCTGAAGACGAGAACTGAACTCAAGACTATGAGGAGAATAAATCTATTTTTCTTTTGTCCAACTACAAGCTTTTGTATGTGAGACAATGAAATAATCATCAGAGTGGGTGAAATATCGACAGGATGGAGCAAGGGACGGTGAACAGAGGAACCAGGGAAGTGAGAGGGGAAAAACAGGTACAAGTGGATGGTGAAGTAAGAAAGGCAGGGGTGTAGAGATAAATGTGCAGACAGCAGTCCAGGGATGTGAATATCAAAAATATATGCAGGGCTGGACGAACCAGTGAATAGCCAGGGCTGAGGAATATTGAGGAGACCCTCAGTTGTGTGCGAAGCGTGCGCCCACTGATTGCTGATTGACATGCACTGCCACACGCCAGGACTTGTCGGATAGATAGGCCAGTCCGTCATCTCCTCCTGACTGAAAAAATGACCGTCCTCGGTCATAGAATAGCGGACAAGTGTCTTGAGGAATAGAAATGTGAAGATAAAGGCTCAGGAGATCATCATTGCCTTAGCTCCTCGGAGCTGCGCAAGACAACGATGAATCGAAGGATGCGACTTGGGGGGGAAGGAATGGCAAGAAAAATTGAACGGAGAGGGTGCTCAGCTGCGTAGACGCATCCTCCTGACTGAAATGCGTTCTCTAGCTCTTCTCCAACTCATCACAGCGCTCCTCCTCTTCCTGATCTGTCTCTGGGTCCACCAATGTTGACTGCTCGAGCTCGCGCAGTTTTTCGGTTGAGATATCGAGGAAATCGTCCAGGGGAGGGAGGGGGATCGTTGTGCGTGCAAAATAAGGTATAACACGAAAAGCGGCGATGGGACAATGGAAAACTGAGCCGTCTAGCTCACACAGGATGTAGGCGCCTCCCTTGTTGCGCGAAATGACGACTAATGGGCCCAAATAGCGTTTGCGCATCTTCATATTGAGGGACTTCTCGATGGCCGTGTTCCTCATCAAAACCAGGTCGCCCTGCTTGAAGTTGAAGTCGCAGATCGTGGCGGCGTGCTCGATCTCGAAGCGTGCAGCGTCACGCAGTCGTGCTTGATAAACTCGAGAGTGTAGGGCTTCTAGATCGCTTCGGCGTTTCTGGAGCGCAATGGCGCGTCGTGCAATGAGATCCGTGGTCGAAAGGACGGTTTCGGGCGGCGGGAGCAGGTATGTGGCTTCTGATAAATCGAGGGGAATTAATGGATGCGTTCCAGTGACCGCAAAATAGGGTGAGCAGCCCATGCGACGACGGACAGTGACACGGTCCGCCCAGAAGACCGAATAAGCAGCAGAACTCCAGTTCTTCTGCTCCCCATCTACAGCCTTGAAGAGCGCCTCGCGGATGTCGAAATGTGGATTTTCAATCAGCCCATTTGCGCGTGAGTTGTATCCCGAAATGCGCACATGACGGACGTGATACTTAGCTTCCAGGTACGCCAATGGGGCTACATGAATTAGCCGCGGGACCCGCTGGGACCCGCTGGAGTCCCGCTGGAGTCCCGCAGGGCAAAACTTGCACCACCGCGGGACCACCGCATGTCCCGCTGGGACTCCCGCCAGTCCCGCTGGGACTCCCGCCGGTCCTGATGAGACTCCCGCGGGACCACCGCAGGTCCGGCTAAGACTCCTGCCGGTCGAACTAGGACTACACTAGATATGTCACACACCATTGCCGTCGTGTATAGATCATCACTTGACATTTATCATACTAAACCAACGTGTATTGATGACTAGTAATTCATGTTTAAAACCTTCTGGCTCGGTCTCCGTGGCCTGAATGCTTCCTCAACGTCTAATTTGACACGTTTTTTCGGTCGTCTCTTCTCCTCGCCATCGACAATAGGACTGTGCAGTGGCATCGTCAGGGTTGACGGCCACAGCACTGAAGTTGCGCGTTCAACAGTTGCAGGACGAAGACTTCCGTCGAAGATGGAATGGCGAGTCTGGAAAAATTTCAAATTCACTGATGTCGTCATGCAAGGCACGCTAGTTACATTATTTCAAATTCCGGCTAATCTAATCCTCATCCTGGTCAGCTTCCGGATCCATCTCTATCTCACGGCGCTCCTCGTCTGACCACTCTCGTTCACGATCACCTTAAGGAGTGATTCACATGGTGAGATAGCTCAGAAATTGTGATACTCACCGAAATTTGTTGATTCAAAACCGTCGGGGCTGCGCTCTGATCTTGTGGTGTACTTGAGTTGTTCCTCGGGTTCTGTTGTTGGCTCTGGGGTGCCCATATCCGATGTCGTCTGCACTGTGGGTCAGACAGTCAGGCCAGTGAGGCGAAAAAACTGCTCACCAAGTCCCGAGCTGGCAAACTCTGTAAAATGACAGGTTCCCTTCGTGGCACAAAGACTGGCAGCTTGAACGTGCCGTTACTCGAAATCTTGAGCACATGCGTGTAATTGGTGTGGGTGTGACTGCCGCGATTCACAAAGAGTGCACCCCCGGCATACCGATGTATTGAGGAGGTGGTTCCGCAGGTGACATATTGAAGTCGCGCTCCGCATAAGCAAATATATCGTCCGAGAGCTTGACCGACAGAGAAAGACCGATCCGCGGCCGCTAGCATCTCAAACGGACACTGTGATGACTCACATTTGAAAACACCGCGACAAATCTTTCGTGTTTCCCTCCCTTGCTGCCAAGTCCGCGCCCGAGTTTTCCCTGTATCGATGCGCAAACTGTCACAAGACCAGTTTATCGAGGCGGAGGATGTTAATTTCATATCTTCACTCGTCAGATGCGTGGAGAAAGCCCCGTCAGGCCAACCATCCCAGACCAGGACCATTCGGGACGGTGGTAACGGGAGTTGAGTGTGCAATTCTGTTGCAGATTTTCTCGGACAATCCCGTAGAGTCTGCGGCGGGGAAATGGATTCTGTGTAGAGACAAATAAGAGATTAAATAGACGTCAATAAGGCTGGCAACCCACGTCCAACTAGTTCAACCGCGTTGTTGGTAGAACGTGGATTCTGATCAGGGGGCAATACCATTCCGAGGAACTCGCCTGTTGAGGTAATGTGTTAAATGGTTTCACTTATTCTCATCTGGGCGGTACTCACCTTGTCGACTCCAATACGGCACGGCTCGTCGACTCGGCCGACCTGAACCGCACAGTCGTGCCACAGAGACCCAGATCCAATGAAATAGATGGAAAATTCGCTCTACGTTCGACAGAAGGAGTGCAACCGCAAGGAAGATTGCTGCCGTATCAGAGATCATGGTGGTTTGGGACAAGACGCGTGATCAAACCATAACCTACTTGCATAGTTGACCTAAAATGAAAATATCTCATTACACAGGCATTGGACTTCAGAACGGTCAGTACCAAGTGGCAAGTATATATAAGAGCTACCCCCTCATAGAATAAAATAGTATGTGTAAAGTTTAAGCCTTGTCCTCATGGTCGGCAACGATGACGGAAAGTGGGGTCCGCTAGGCCTCTGCTGGGTTGGCCCAGTGGCGTCCCGTGGTCAATTCCGGTTGTTGTGAATGCACACAGGTTGAGAACTTGAGGTTTACTTAGAATGAATTTTCCCATTCAAGGAGCGGTCTCCAATACTTTAATCATTCAAAGACGAGTTTTACTAGTTCCTAGCTTTCAGGCTAACCAATAACATAGAACTCTTATTTTTTCAATATATTCGTTGTCGTTGTTGCGAACGATGAGCAGGATCATGATGTGGCTGTGAAGTTTGATGTGCGATGCGACGAGCACGATGATGATGAGGCGGCTGTGCAGTCGATGTGCTGTGCGGACGATGATGATGAGGTGGCTGTAACGTTGATGTAAGACGACGATGGGGACGGCGGTGTGCGGCGGTGACCTTATAGAGCAGCACTGCCGGATTATGTTGGTGAGCAGAGGATCCCGCAGTGTTCACGCCCGCTGGACCTCTGCTGGACCTCCGCTGAAGTCCCGCGGGGCATGTGAGCCGACTGCTGGAGTCCCGCGGGGTCGAGTGGGGCCATCGCTGGAGTCCCGCGGGACCTGCTCGACCTCCGCTGGAGTCCCGCACACCGGTTAAGCACTCCCGCTGGAGTCCCGCGGGGTCATTTTCCATTCCCGCTGGAGTCCCGCTGGGTTTAGTCCCGCTTTAAGTAGAGTCCCGCGGGACCCAATTCTTCGACCTCGCTGTCCTCAACAATGTCAACACTACGAGTGATGCAACTAATTGGGATATCTTGTTACTGTATCAGACTCTATGCTAAGGTTGACAGAACATTGAAATGTTCTGCCGTCGTCGAGAGCGGGACTTCGATTTTTCAGGGGTCCCGCTGGGCCAGACCTGCGGGGGTCCCGCGGCGAATTCTGTAGGCCCACGCCAATGCCTTCACAAACGGTGCGCCGTTGTCTGACACGATTTCTGTGAGCGTCCCCCATCTGCAGATCAAGTCCTGGAAGATCCATTTGCCCAGGGTGGTCGCTGTCTCACGGCGCAGCATGCGGAACTCAGGAAAAAGCGAAATCGAGCATCGTCCTTGCACAATGTAGCGGAATCCAGCGCTTGGCGGCATGTGCATAGTGTCCATATGAATTTTCGAAAACAGTGGGGCCGGGACCGCGACGGTAGGGGGGATAAGGAGCTTCTTTGTCTGTCGAATCTGACATAGGTGGCAGGTGCGTAGGTACCAGGTGACGTCGTGTGCAAGGAATGGCCACCAGAATCGTTCCGTGAGTAAAGCCTTCGTTGCGTGGAATCCCTTGTGACCAACGTCGTCGTGGGCAGATCGCAGGATGAATATTCGACGGTGGGAGGGAACGACTAGCTTGTGGCGTCCGTGTGCGTCCTTGCGCCAAAGCTTTCGATTTTCGAGGTAGAATTCCATGCTAAACCGAATAAATGCCTGATATTGCTGTTCAGACATGTCCCGTGGGCGTCGTAGCGTCTCAAGCCATCCCTGAACCAGATCTACACGATGATCGGCGAGTCGAGCTGCTTCTGAGCGAGGTACCTGATCGTAGCTCAGTGTAGGCGGTGTTGTGGACTCGGTGGGTGCAATTTCGGCGGAAAATGAGTGGATCATGGATTGGCGTCGTGAAACGAAGGGTAAGTCATTGATTATGTGCATAAAACCGTGCACCTCGTCGATCCAGTCATCAAAACCGTCGTCCTCATGCTCTAACTCGTCTCCAGGCTGTGCGGGTCGTCTGGACAATCCATCCGGGCCGTGTTTGACGCCAGGGACATGTACTAGCTCGAAATGGAAGGTTAAGATCGCCAGGATCCAGCGGTTGATACTGGCTGAGGGCGAAAGATCGGGGTTCCGTAGCATACCCTTGATGTACCTAGCATCGACTTCAACCACTAGATTTCGTAGACCGATCAGGTGGAGCTTCCATGAACGAAGGGCGCGGAATAATCCATACAGCTCTAGCTTGGGCTGTGAAAATCGAGCTTCTCGATCGTTAAGCGTGATTGAGCCAAACCGGGCATAGAAACGTCGACTGGGAGTGTTTGGATCGCACTGGGCAAGCAGGAAACCAACGGCGATCTGAGAGGTGTCCACGGATAAGATAACTGGGTCCCCAGATGAATAGTCGATTGGCCGGAGCGCAGGGCAGCTCAATAATGCGTGCTTCAGGTCGTCTTGGGCAGCGATCTGTGCAGTACCGAAGTGGAATGGCATATCCTTTCGTGTTAGAAGTGTCAGGGCGTGGGCACGATGCGCAAAATTCGAAATAAATGCACGGCAGACTCCTATGGTGCCCAGAAATGCACGGACTTCTGAGAGCGTCTTGCAGGGTCCCCAATTTGCGATTTTGTCGACTCTCTTCTCATCAGGGATTCGTCCAGCCGGTGTGCAGACATGTCCAACAACTGTGATGGTTTCGGCGCAGAGTGTGAGCTTGAGGCCAGAGAATGTCCCTCCGCAGTACTTCATCCTCTGAACGATTCGATTCAGATTTCCAAAATGTTCCCAAACGAACCGGCGAATCCCTGGATTCTCAGGGATCGTCTCAAATGATCCATCTTCTAGCTGATATCTCGATTTGGGGCCACGGCCCGGGACGTCGTCGATGTATGGCCAAGTAAATTCCGGGATTTCGGGCTGGAGGATGTAGGTGACGTCGTCGTGGAAGATGGGGACTGAATTCGTCCATCCCATGGGCAGGGTAACAAGTCTGAGAGCTCCATAGGGCGTCTGGAACGTTGTATAGTCGCGGGAGGCTGGCGCAAGCAACCGCTCATCATATCCAACATATAAATCCAGCATGGCACCGCAGGCTCGTCCTGCAAAATGCTCAGCCAGCTGCTCAGTGAATGGCGTGACACCTGAGTGCTGAATTGTGACGGCGTTTAGTGGCTCCAGGGAATGAACCAAACGAAGGCTGGTGCCGTCTTTCTTGACCACGCAGAACCAACGGGATCGATAGGATGAATTGGACGGTTCGTACACTCCAGCAGCAATTTTCGAACGTATGAGGTCGCAGACTTGATCGTAGATCCCAGGGGGAATGGGGATATTGCGCTGGACCCACGGTGTGTGCGGCATGACTGGGATATTGACAGGGGGAAAGAAATCGGTTCGAAAACGTCCTCGTTCTGATTCTTGCCATGCAAAGGCTCCTTGGTGAAGGCACATGAACTGGTGCATTAAATCTCTCTCAGCAGGCCACAGGAAGTCACCGCGGTGTGCGTCGTCAAGAGCAGCCTTGCGTTCGGCGGTGTAGCGTCCAGTCGGCACAAAAGGAGGCGGAATAGGATCCAGATATGGTAGATCTGCGAGTGGGTCGCCCAGGATCTGGCGCTCGATGCGGAATTCGTCTGGGACAGATCCAAGAACAGGCCGAATTTTCCTGGCCACTGGCTTGTACTTTTTGTTAGCAAATTGTGACGTGGACGGGTAGAATTGAGATGAAGGAGACGTAGCAGTAGGATAGGTACGAGACGAGTTCAAAGAAAATATGGGAACGAATTTTGAACCAGGAGTTGAATCCTGGGTCGCTGAGGAAAACGCCGGTTGAACGACTGTATGTGCAAGAGAAATAGTCGAACTGTGTGCGGATAAATTGCTACAGGCAGAGAGATAAGTATGTTGTATGTGCGCAAGAGAGTCTGTGAGAGAAATGGGGGCATAGGACGAAAATACGTAGCGTTCTGGTTGATCTGGGCTGGCCTCGATCACAAAGGCGTACTCTCCTTGATCAGGAATCAAATCCTCGAGCTGCGAAAACCCTCTGAACGGGCACGGGGAGATCCGCGGGGCACAGTAGGCACAGTAGCCGTCTTTCCAGTGTTGGGATCGGTGATTGTGAGTGTTTGATCCGTGTTGGAAAAGTTTCGAATGACGCTTTCCGTCAGAACGTCAAATGGTCATCCCAGGAGCACGTCGTAGGCAGCGTCACGCAGAATGTGCATCTGTAGGTACAATGTGATGTCCCCAATGCGAACCGGGACGTTTCGGGCTAGTCCAAGCAACGGTGTGATTGTTCCATTGGCAGATTGCATTTGTAGAACGATTCGAGGGTCATACGCAAGTCCCAACTCGTGACAGGTTGCCTGGGACATCGAAATAATCTGAGAACCACTGTCGACGATGCATTCCACTTGTTGCTGGTTGTCAATCACTGGGAGGATCGAGCGGATGGCCAGGGACTCGGCAGCCACAACTAGATTGTCTGGCAACCTTCCAGTCTGATCGTAGTAGACGGCGAATTTATCTGGGACCACCCAAGCGTCTGGGGGCAACGTCTGGCTGTAGGCGACTGGAAAATGCTCCGCAGCCAAAGCAAGGCGTGCATCTTCGTTTCGTTGCTGCTGAAGCACTTTTTCGACCAAATCTGAGTCGTCCTGAGCATATGGAAGGTCGTAGGGCGTGCTATCAGTGACAGGATGCAGGAATTGAGGCACTGCCTCGCCAGTCTTGGCAGGGGGACGACGGAAACTAGTGGCTTCGCGGAATTGAGCACGGACTTCTGGGGCAATCGACAGGGTCTGGCGAAGCGTCTGGGTGACAGGGATGTCCAAAATGGCGTCGAAAACAGCTGCAGCATCTTTGGGGTTGTAGATCGGAGCCGAAGAGCGTGGGGGTTGTGATTTCTGCGCTGGAATCCCAACATTTCGTTCTTTGGGCGGTGCGTAAGCGCCATCATGTCATAATTCGACTCTTTTTCATCTTATCATCGGCGATCTTATCTTATCTTGGCACGACTTATCTTATCACGGATCACGGCATCAGACGGTCCGGGCTAGGGGTTCCAGGGATTATTCTTATTGATTCAAGACTGCGTGACATATGCTCCGGAAGGTTCTACTACAACCCATGACCAGTGCTCCATGCGGTACATAGCCCTATGACTCATTAGTTGTAGATATGACTCAGACTGGATTTGGGTATAAAAACTGTAGCTATTTGGTTGTATTCTCCAGTCTTCGAATTCACTTCTCTTTTCGACTTGTTTCTGGGTTGATTGTCACATAATTCGAAGACTCCCCTCATACCCTCCTACCTCATACCTCTTACCCTGCATCTTGCACCGCTACGCCCGCTATATCCTCTTAACCCTTATCACCCCACTCACCCTTTTACCGAATCATCTAGTCGTCCTCCACTATCGCAGTGAAGGGTTCATATCAAGCAAACAGCACCAGGCCACGGGTAACGTTGAGCCCGACCCAAGCCTTACGGTAGCTACAAGGAGTGCTGCGGAGACCTTCGGGAAAACGCACCTTGGGATCATCGGGCACGTGAAGAGCTAGGCCCGGGATCTTTTTGCTAGCAAAAGAACCCTCCCTCGAGTGCTTGTACAGCACACGATTCCACCATTTCGTACCGATTCCCATCATCGTCTGGGAGTCCGTCCCCTCCCCCCATCGTACCATCGTCGCCCGATCTGGCGCATCAAAACCAACCCGGGCCCTCCAACCCCTACCTCGCCCTCCCACCGCCTGAAGACGAGATCCCCGACCTCGACGAACTGCCCTCCGAACAACCACCCTCGCCCCCACCTCACACGCCTGCTCCTACCATGTCAGGGCATCACCGCATCACCCTCGCCGCCAATCCCCCCTACTTCGATGGCGACAAGTCCAAATACCTGGGCTTTGTGGACGTGTGCACCACCTACATCGGTGCCTATCGATCGGAGTTCTCGCAGGATGAGACCAAAATCCTCTTCGTCCTCTCCTACCTCCGTAACGAGAATGGCACGAGCTGCGCTGCCTCGAGATGGGCGATGAACTGGAAGCAGCACAACTTCGATGGCTTCCAGGGACTGAAGGCAGGAGTCACATCAAAGAACTTCCTGGAGGAGCTTCAGATGGCGTTCGGGGACTCCAACGCGGAACAAGTCGCCGCTGCTCGGCTTATGGCCCTGCGCCAAAACAAACGGTCCTTTGCGGACTACATCTCCGACTTTGAGATGTTGGCTGCGGATGCAGGCTACAATGTGGTTGACACCACCGACGACAAAGGCGAATACAAGAAGGGGGACCAGGATAATATCCTCATCGAGTTCCTGGAGCGCGGACTCAGCAGCGAGATCGCCAGCCGTCTCTACAACACCGGTGTCCCTCTGCCCACGGCCTATGGAGCGTTCAAAGCCTGGTGCATCAACATCGAAGCCAATGCTCTGCGTGACCAGCTGCGCAAAGCGTCGTATGGGCACCCCACACAACGACCACCTCCCCAGTTCCGTCCCCAAACGGCACCAGTGGCGCCCACACCCGCTCCGGCCCGACCCGCTGCCAACGAACCGGTTCCGATGGAAATCGATCGTACCCACGCCCGCGGCCGCAATATCATCTGCTACAACTGTCAGCAGCCCGGGCACATTGCGCGGAACTGCCCGGAGCCCAAGAAGAAGCGCACGTTCTTCAATCGGGCCACAATGCTGGAAGAAATCGAGAACGGGGACAAGGACAACAAGTTCCTGAAGGAGATTGCCGAGAAGCTGCGCGAGAAGGGTTTTTGAAGCGCTCCACTCCTCTAGCCAAGGAGGTGGAGCGTCCGGACTATGGACGATTTTCTGTACTTGTTTCGATTAAAGATACGGACAATATTTCATCTACATACACGATATCAGACTCCCTACGTACAAATATTCACGATTTTCTTATTGCCGAGATGGAAAAAGAACGCCAGGAAAAGATAGCTCTAAATAGAAAATACTTACAAGATAAAAAAGATCAGAAAGCTGCAGATAAATTATTTTTGGACTCCTACGTATTTATGGCTCGTGGAGAAGGAACCACGTCAACAAAGACCGAAAAGGGGAGCATCGCTCCGAAGGCTCGATCCTTGAAAAAGGAGGAAGCGCCCAAGGAATCTGCCAAAATCGAGGTTCCAGAAGCACCCAAACGCACCAGGGTGCCAGATGCCATCCAGAGGAAATTGGCGGCCGAGAAACAGAAGGGCCCCCAACCCAGCAGATTGGCGCAGGAATTACGCAGTTACCAAGCCGAAAGAAAGAGGCATTCGATGGACGTATATGTCCAGATCACGGGCCTGGACTCAGGGAAAACGCGTGGAGTCAAGGCGCTGCTCGATAGTGGCTGCAGTACCTGCTGCATCGACACTGACTACGCACGGGCAGAAAAGCTGGATATCCAAGAGCTTCCGCAACCCATTGTGGCTCGTAACGCCGACAACACCGAGAACATCAGCGGTCGGATCACGCACTACGTCGACTTGAGAATGAGAATCGGTCCTCATGTGGAGACACGCACGTTCCTTCTGACGTGTCTGGGAAAAGCCCGGATCTTCATCGGCCTGGATTGGCTGACGGAACACAACCCCGAGGTGGATTGGCAGGAGCAGACAATGAGATTCAGCCGATGCCCAGAGCAATGTCAAATGAGGGGTCACGAGGAGCACCAAGCGATGATCGACATGGATGCAATTGACCTGGACGCGGGTGCACCGGATCTGGAAGAGGGAGAATCGATCTTGTTGATCGACTTTGGAAAGGAGGTAGACCTACGGCTGAAGGAAACGCCGGCGCAGAAATTTGCAGAAGAAGCGGAAAAGGAGAAGGAGAGAATGACCGAGGGAAAGATTCCAGATCAATACCGAGAATTCGTCAAAGTATTCGCCAAGGAATCATTCGACTCGCTACCGGACCGACGGGCATGGGATCATGCGATCGAGCTCAAACCAGGCTCCAAAGCAGTGGACTGCAAGGTGTACCGCTTATCGAGAAACGAGCAGGTCAAACTCGACGAGTTCTTACAAGAGAACCTAGCCAGCGGACGGATCAGGCCATCAAAATCACCGATGGCATCAGCATTCTTCTTCGTCAAGAAGAAGGATGGCTCGCTACGGCCTGTTCAAGATTACCGGAAGCTGAACGAGATGACGATCCGAAATCGGTACCCGCTACCGCTGATTTCCGAGCTGGTCCACAACCTGTGCGGCGCCAAGTTCTTCACCAAGCTAGACATCCGGTGGGGATACAACAACGTACGGATCAAAGAGGGCGATGAGTGGAAGGCTGCGTTTCGCACAAACCGCGGACTTTACGAGCCCTTGGTTATGTTCTTTGGTCTCACGAATTCCCCGGCAACTTTCCAAAACATGATGAACGACATACTCCAGGAACTGATCAACGAGGGACATGTGGTAGTCTATCTGGACAATATACTGATCTTCACAGGAAATCTGGATGAACACCGACGAATCACCAAACGGGTACTCGAGTTGCTCCAAAAGCACAAATTATACCTGAAGCCGGAAAAGTGCGAGTTCGAACGCACGGAAATCGAATACCTGGGTGTAATCATTGGACACAACTCGATGCGGATGGACCCTGTCAAGATCAAGGGCGTGATGGAATGGCCGGAACCAAAGAGCGTCAAACAAGTCCAAGCCTTCCTCGGATTCACAAACTTCTATCGACGTTTTGTTCGGGGATATGCGGAGGTCGCCAAGCCGTTGACGCGGCTGACAGGGAAGGCAGGATGGTCATGGGGTCCGGATGAACATACGGCGTTTGATGGGTTAAAGAAGAGAATCGCGGAGGATGCCGTCTTAGCACTGCCAAATGACACCGGTCAATATCGTCTGGAAGCCGATGCTTCGGAAGGGGCAACAGGATCTGTTTTGAGCCAAAACCAGGACGGCATTTGGCGCCCAATTGCATTTATTTCGCATGCATTAACGGAAACCGAGCGAAATTACGAGATCTACGACAAGGAAATGCTTGCAATCATGTTATCGCTCGACGAATGGAGGCAGCTACTCTTGGGGGCCACAGAAACGTTTGAAATCTTCACTGATCATCAGAACCTCGAATACTTCCGGAAGCCACAAAAGCTCAACCGACGACAAGCACGATGGATCACAGAATTAGCAGAATTCGATTTCACCTTACGACACCGGCCTGGCGCACTCAACCGCAAGGCGGATCTCTTATCTCGACGAGCGGATCACGATCAGGGCAAGAACGACAACAAGGATATCACTCTGCTGAAACCCGAATTCTTCCGGTCACAAGAAGTCACATTCGAGGGGCAAGATCAGCAGCTAATCGATGAGATCAAGGCTACTCGATCAATTGATGGAAGCGTCAAAGCGGCCGTGGAGAAGTCACTCGTCGGATGGAAAAAGGAAGATGGGCTCATCACGTACCATGGGAAGCTCTACGTGCCGAGGAATGAGGAGCTACGAGACAAGATCATCGGACTACACCACGACACACCCTTGGTCAGACACGCTGGGATCAACCGAACGCAGGAGATGGTGGAAAGGAACTACTGGTGGCCAAGGATGGGAAACCAAATTCGGAAATACATCCAGACGTGCGAGGCGTGCCAACAGACCAAGACCAGAAGAGCCAGGACAGGGAGTTTGCACCCGCATGCAGTTCCAAACGCGCCGTGGGAAATCATCTCCATGGATCAGATCGGACCCCTGCCGGTCAGTAACGGGTATGACGCAATTCATGTGTGGTGTGACACCTTCACCAAAATGATCCATGTCGAACCAATTAGTACTGACATCAGCAGCGAAGGAGTAGCACGGTTAACCAGGGACCGAATCTTCCGCTATCACGGGGTCCCTCGCAAAATCATCACCGACAGGGACTCTCGATACATCAAGGGCTTTATGAAGGAAACGAATCGGATGTTGGGCGTGGAAATGAATCTGGGGACCGCATATCACCCCATCACGGATGGGCAGACGGAGCGTATGAATCAGGAGATCGAACACTATCTCCGCATTTACGTCAACTACCATCAGACGGACTGGTCGGAGTGGCTGGGAATGGCGGAGTTCGCATACAACGACAAAATGAACACGTCTACCAAAATGTCGCCGTTCTATGCTAATCACGGATACCACCCATGGAAGGGAGTGGAGCAGCGGATGGAATCAAGGAACGAGTCGGCGGAGGAATTTGTAAAAAGAATCAAAGAAATACAAGACGAAGCAAAAGCAGCATTGGAAAAAGCAAAAGAAAAAATGAAAAAATACTACGATAAACAAAGAAAAGAAGTTCCGGAGTTGAAGGTGGGGATGAAGGTGTACATAGAGGGGGACAATATCGAGACGGACAGGCCTTCGAAGAAGATGAGCGACAAGAGATTGGGGCCATACGAGATACTGGAGAAGGTTGGAGCGGCTGCATGGAAGCTGAATTTGCCGGACACGGACCGAAGACACCCGGTGTTCAACGAGTCACTGTTGACACCCTATCACGAACCACCCCCCCATCGCCGAGAGAAGAGACCCGTGGCCAAGATGATCGGAGGAGCAGAGGAGTGGGAAGTCGAAGAAATCGTGAAAGAGCAAAAAGTTGGCCGAGGAAAACAGTACTTGGTCAAATGGAAGGGATGGCCGCACAGCGAGAACACCTGGGAACCATCACGTCACCTTACCCACGCGAAGAAGGTCCTGAGAGATTGGCAGAGGAAACAATCCAACCCAGACACACGCATTTGCCTCCTGCCAACCCTCGAAGCCGGACATTGGGATTATCTCATCCATCGCTACAAACCCAAAGACGAGCGCCTTCCATATCCCCAACGACAACTCTTCGATCCCTACGAAAACGTCTTCACGCCCATCGGCCTAGTCGATGAGGACATCGACCCTAGAGAGAGGGTAATGTCATAATTCGACTCTTTTTCATCTTATCATTGGCGATCTTATCTTATCTTGGCACGACTTATCTTATCACGGATCACAGCATCAGACGGTCCGGGCTAGGGGTTCCAGGGGTTATCTCTATCGATTCAAGGCTGCGCGACATATGCTCCGGAAGGCTCTACTACAACCCATGACCAGTGCTCCATGCGGTACATAGCCCTATGACTCATTAGTTGTAGATATGACTCAGACTGGATTTGGGTATAAATACTGTAGCTATTTGGCTGTATTCTCCAGTCTTTGAATTCACTTCTCTTTTCGACTTGTTTCTGGGTTGATTGTCACACATCACGAGCTGCGGCGTACGGATGGATTGGGGGTTGAGGTGGGGCAACTGGAGCAGCAGGGGCGGTCGCAGGAGGGACGGTTTCGATTGGAACAGGTGGAACGACTGGATTTCGCGCTACCGCCGGTGGAATAGTGCGTTCAGGGACTTCTGGTTGATTAGCCACTTCCATAGCGCGTTTAGCTTGAGCCCGTGTGCGTAGTTGATTAATTTCAGCCGTCAGAACTGCCATTCGTTCTTCGTCCGTGAGTTTGAACGTTTGAACGAGCCCAGGCGCCGCAGAAGACAGCAAATTCTGGTGAGAAACTTCCAAAATCATCTGCGGAGCTGCTGCCTGACCTGGGTTCGCTTCATGCCACTTCTGAATGCGCTCTCGAAGATCCTCTCCTTGGACAATATTTGGCACATATGCGCCTGAGGGGAGGACGACTTTCCCATCCACATTGCGGCGGCATTTTCCGTCTCGAATATCCGTCGAAACGTGGGGACATTGGCTGATAAAATGCTCGAGATCACTGCAATAACTGCAGCCATCAGGACGGCGACGGCGGGGCAGGGCGTTGGCGGACTGTGATTGTGCTGGGGCACCAGGATTGGCGTGTTGAGCAGCGATTATTCGAACTAGATCTGAGACGGATGAAACTAGTGCAGTAATTCCAGGGTCTGATTTGATTGTGAGCTCGGTCCCGGGCTGAGACGTGGGCATTCCAGGAAGTAAGGTCGATGATCCTGAAAGGACGAATTTAGCAGCGTCGTACAGATCTGACAAATCATATGGATCCTCAGGGTGAACGTCTGGCTTCTTGATCTGAAGTCTCTGGCGAACTGAGACGGACAACGAGGCTGGATTCATAGCTCGAAGGAAAAATCGGCTCTGTTCTGCCACAGAGAGTCGTTGTTTGCTAATCAGGAATGTTGTGATGTGTAGGAATCGTCGATAAAATTGTGTGAGGTCGTCCTTTGTGTGGATTCCCATGCGAGATGTCTGCCCAACGAGCATGTCCAAATCGTCGAGGCTGAAACGACAATCTGTGTCGTTCCCTGCGTAGAGGCTGAGGGCGTCCAATTTGAAGTCGTGGTACGATTTGTTGGCGTCTGAGAATGACGGTAGACCTTCCCAAATCTCCTGATCTTCGACGGAAAGGAATCTGACCGCATGCCCCTTCATTTGGGCAGCGTCAGTGACGGCAGATCGAGCTAGAAGGAACTCCAGATCGAGGAAATAACGGCGCAACTCGTGGGGCTTGGACGAATCAAAGACTGGGGCGTTTCGATCGCCTCTGGCTGGCATGGGAGTGGGAGTAGCCATATTTTGAGAAGGAATATTCGTGTTGTGAAGGGGGGATGGTGAACGCGTTGTTGGAGGCGAATCAAAGAGCCAGGATAGCGTTGGAGAGCTCGGGGAATGCGGTGAGAGGTTGTTGTGTTGTGCAAGGGCGCTGGGGACAATGTCAAAGAGGTGTTCGTCGTCGAAAGAGAGAGTTGTGGGGTCGTTGAGAGCAACAGCTAGCTCTTCACGGAGCGTGCGATGTAGCTCAGAATGATTGTTGTGTCGCAGACTGCGAGAGGCACCAGAATCTATGTTGAAATCCCCTCGCGGTGGGCTCCAAAATGACGTGCCTGCGGACGGAATAGGCGCGAGCTAACACAAAATGGGGGTCAGCTACGACCTAAAACAGTGCAGGAATAAGTGTGATGTGCGAGGAGGTCCACAAGATTCAGTGCCGTGGCAGGCAGTAAGAAATGATGATTTTAGACGTGGGACGAAGTCGAGGGCGGCGTGGGACGGATGCGACGAAGCAGAGGGTCGAAATACCCAAGTAGAAACGAGCTGAAGACGAGAACTGAACTCAAGACTATGAGGAGAATAAATCTATTTTTCTTTTGTCCAACTACAAGCTTTTGTATGTGAGACAATGAAATAATCATCAGAGTGGGTGAAATATCGACAGGATGGAGCAAGGGACGGTGAACAGAGGAACCAGGGAAGTGAGAGGGGAAAAACAGGTACAAGTGGATGGTGAAGTAAGAAAGGCAGGGGTGTAGAGATAAATGTGCAGACAGCAGTCCAGGGATGTGAATATCAAAAATATATGCAGGGCTGGACGAACCAGTGAATAGCCAGGGCTGAGGAATATTGAGGAGACCCTCAGTTGTGTGCGAAGCGTGCGCCCACTGATTGCTGATTGACATGCACTGCCACACGCCAGGACTTGTCGGATAGATAGGCCAGTCCGTCACCGGCCCTGGGATGAGGCGCAGCATCCTCGGCTTGGCATGGGCTATATTCCGTACCCATGTACCGGTCAATCAGCTATATGGCCTGTACAAGCAGCCTGGAGTGGAAATGGGAGCATTTTCGAATTTTTTTTCCCGGCCTACGGCCGGCCCTGGGACTGGGCCCAGCATTCCGGCCGTGCAATAGGCTGAATAGTGCCTGTCTACAAGCTAGTAGCCCGATACAAACAGCTGGCAAGGGTAGCTGGGGGATTTGCAAATGGTTGAGGAAAGGGTGGTTCCGCCCACATTCCGCTCCCCTGGGTCGAAACCACCCACCAGAGCGAGCGCGGGGTGGTCGCAACCACATGCGGTCGGGACCACCACTGGTGCCACCACGGGTCAAATAATGGTCCTGACCACCAGGAGCTGAATGGGGATGGGTGCGACCAACTGGCGAAAACTGGTCGAGACCGCCCTTTTTCAGTGGTCCAGATGGCCTGGCTACCCGATTTGGGAAGGGTGGTTGTAGCCAAAAAGCGGTTGGTCTGAGACCACGAAGTGGTCTTGGACCCTCTTAAGGCTAAAAAACGACCACTTTTGGTACCCTATTAGGGTCACAGACCATACTGACTGGACTGCGGGCGTAGCGATGCAGGATACAGGGTAAGAGGTATGAGGTAGGAGGGTATGAGGGGAGTCTTCGAATTATGTGACGATCAACCCAAAAACAAAGTCGAAAAGAGAAGCGAATTCGAAGACTGGAGAATACAACCAAGTAGCTACAGTATTTATACCCAAATCCAGTCTGAGTCATATCTACAACTAATGAGTCATAGGGCTATGTACCGCATGGAGCACTGGTCATGGGTTGTAGTAGAGCCTTCCGGAGCATATGTCGCGCAGCCTCGAATCGATAGAGATAACCCCTGGAACCCCTAGCCCGGACCGTCTGATGCTGTGATCCGTGATAAGATAAGTCGTGCCAAGATAAGATAAGATCGCCAATGATAAGATGAAAAAGAGTCGAATTATGACAGACATACCAGTTGGCCAATCCAACGTGTCATATTCCAAAAGCATGACGCGGTGGGTTGTCCCACATTAAAAGCACCATATAGACAATGAGGTGGGGTCCTGATCAGTCAGGACCTGTCCAATTGTTCAACTTATATTACTATAAAAAGCAGCCAATCTTGGATAGCATAGCTACTATGCAGTTGTACAGGACTTTACTAAGCACCACCATAGACAGTATAAGTAGCGCGTCTTTTCTTTTATTGGGGAGCTTTCCCCCGGACTGTGAATCATACCCATATCAGATTGTTTTGTACAATTTGTGTGTCACATGATTGCTCCTTAAGGAGTTCTATTACCCCTGCCCAGTCGCGATATGCTGCTCCCTGAGCACTTGTAGCTACTGTGAGTTGAGCCTGAGTTTGAGTTGAGATGTTTTGTTGCGACACTCTGTGGTGCTACTTTGGGATTGATTGAGATTGTTTCCACACCTCTAGCTTGGCAGTGCATTGACTAGTTGTGCTCAGGTAGTTTTGGTCAGTTGGCAGTGCGTTGACTTGAGAACTTCGGTTCCACACTTCTTGCTTGGCAGTGCGTCAACAAGTTGTGCTTGGGTTTTGGACATTGGATATTGGCTGTTAGTTGGCAGTGCGTCGACGTGGCATTTTGGTTTACTAGTTGGCAGTGCGTCGACTCAGTATATTGGTTGTATCAGTTGGCAGTGCGTCGACTTGATATTTGGGCTTTGCGTCGCCATCTGGACACTGTCGCTACAAGGGATCTTAATACTTTGTATTAAGCTCTGACTTGTGATATTGTTGGTTTTGGTTGGATTAGTGTTGGTTTTGGCCGTATAGAAGATATTGGTTGAGACACCATTGTTTGCTATATATATACTCTTGTGCATCAACTCCGTCTTCCGCAACTATTGGATCCCGCATCTATTGAGAGTCGTGATTCTTTGGTGCTCTGTTGTCATAGTTCGGCCCTTTTTTCATCTTATCATCAATGGTCTTATCTTATCTTGGCACGGATTATCTTATCACGGATCATGGCATCTGACCGTCCGGGTTAGGGGTTTAGGGACTACCTTCATCGATTCAAGGCTGCGCAACATATGCTCCAGAAGGTTCTACTACAACCCATGACCAGTGCTCCATGCGGTACATAGCCTTATGACTCATTAGTTGTAGATATGACTCAGACTGGATTTGGGTATAAATACTGTAGCTACTTGGTTGTATTCTCCAGTCTTTGAATTCACTTCTCTTTTCGACTTTATTTTTGGGTTGATTGTCACATCTGTCCACCCAAAGCCCTTGCATCTTTCACACACTGAGAAGCTGATTACGAGGAGTGTGAATATGTTTATATTTGGATTGACTTTCACAGTAGATTCACTTGTGAGCACGCCCTCAGCATTTCACCGGTTGTATCACATTGAAGGGCAAGCTTACCTTTGCAGCTCCCTCATCAACAAGGACGGAAACATTAGCGCATTGATCTCTTCTGCAGGATTCAAGCAGCACCCTGTGAGCACAGTCTTCTCATTTTCACCATTCTTCAATGATTAAGACTTCTGGCAGATTATGGAAAGACTCAGGACATTGACTCTGGATGAGGATGGCATGCTGGCAGCAGCGCGCTCATCAGCATAGTGAGCCATTTGTCATCATTTATCCTGCACAACTGATTGCTGATTTGTCCTTGAAGCGCGCTCCTTGAAAGTCCAGACACGCAGAAGATGAGCTCATTGAGAGGTCCTCCTGATGCTCCAGCCGGTCCACCAGCAGATACCTCCACACATTCACTTGCCAACCCTGCTGATGTCTCTGCTGCCGCTGCCTATGCGTCTGCGGCCCAAGAGTTCAGACAGCGTACTGGCTTGGAACCGCTAGCTTTGTTGCCAACTCTTGAGCTCTGGGAACCCAGTGCGGAAGATTGCGCTCAGACAGCCATGATCTCTAATCACTGTCATCTGGTTGTCAGTAACATCTGCAGCTGCACTGTAATTGATATTGGATGTGAAACTATTAGGTGGCAGAACAGCAACCTTCCATGGGTCAAAGCAGGCAGTCGTTTCAGCAATTTGCAGTGTATACTCAGTGGGCACCCGGCTGCTGTCTGACTTCCAACGGAGGTCAAGATGAGGAGGAAAGGTGTCAAGGGCTTGGGTGATTGGGAAAATGGTAGTCTCATGCAATATCACCTGGCATTCAAGGCCAGAGGGTGGATGCCTGAGAGTCTATGGGATGGAAATGGTCTGGGCTTCTTGAGAGTGAACGTCAAACCAGGTGATTTTCCTTTCTCTTGATACTACTCATGGAAAGGCTCCAAAAACACATTCAGGAAACTCTGTCATCTACACGTGCGACTATTGTTTCAGTCCCAGCGACCTGTTGGACCTGAGGTGGTTCTTAGGCACTTCACATCCTCCAGCGGGGAATTTTTGCCTGCTGAAACCACAGATGGGAAGGTCTGGCTTGTCAACTACAACCTGGATCTCCCTGATCCAATTATTGCAAAGAAGAAGCTTGTGCAGGACAGCATGAAGGTATTCTGCACCCAAGTCGCCTGCAGCTCAAAGAAGGTGAAGACAGAAGTGAAGGTGAAGAGCAGCAAGAAGGGCAAGGGGAAGCAAAAGACCACCTCGTGTGCTGTTGACAACTCTGCTACTAGCCATGCACGAGCTAAGCAAAATACAGGTCAGCTACTATGCAATAAACAGCAGAAATAATAGAATGCAAGGGTTCAACTGCTCCGGGACATATTGGGCAGCAAAAGGAGTTGGTTGTCTGGGGGATGGAGTTTCTCAGTGTTGGGGACAATGGCCAGAGTCAAAGGCAAGGTACAAGGCTAAAGCAAAGCGTTTCAAAGGCACAAATTTAAAGGTAGTCCAAATCTGTCTTTTTCTGCAAGTAAAGATATACAGGTTTTTATAGGGTAAAGATAGGCATATATTAGTATCTAAATAATAAGGAAACATGTGGGAGATGGACTGAAGAAAGCTCAGCATCATATGGAAAGGGATGAGATAGGATGGCCCTGGATGGATGTTGTGGGAGCAAGGGGAAAGTCCGCAAACATTGACCTTGGTGTCGTCTAAGCGAGCTCATGTGACAATCAACCCAAAAACAAAGTCAAAAAGAGAAGTGAATTCGAAGACTGGAGAATACAACCAAGTAGCTACAGTATTTATACCCAAGTCCACTCTGAGTCATATCTACAACTAATGAGTCATAGGGCTATGTACCGCATGGAGCACTGGTCATGGGTTGTAGTAGAACCTTCCGGAGCATATGTCACGCAGTCTTGAATCGATAAGAATAATCCCTGGAACCCCTAGCCCGGACCGTCTGATGCCATGATCCGTGATAAGATAAGTCGTGCTGAGATAAGATAAGATGGTCGATGATAAGATAAAAAAGGGTTGAATTATGACATTACCCCCTCTCTAGGGTCGATGTCCTCATCAACTAGGCCAATGGGCTTGAAGACGTTCTCGTAAGGGTCGAAGAGTTGTTGTTGGGGGTATGGAAGGCGTTCGTCTCTGGGTTTGTAGTGGTGGATGAGATAATCCCAATGTCCGGCTTCGAGCGTTGGCAGCAGGCGAATGTGTGTATCTGGGTTGGATTGTTTCCTCTGCCAATCTCTCAGGACCTTCTTCGCGTGGGTAAGGTGACGTGATGGTTCCCAAGTATTTTCGCTATGCAGCCATCCCTTCCATTTGACCAAGTACTGTTTTCCTCGGCCAACTTCTTGTTCCTTCACGATTTCTTTGACTTCCCACTTTTGGCTCCTCCAATCATCTTGGCTACGGGTCTTTTCTCTTGGCAATGCGGGGGTGGTTCGTGATAGGGTGTCAACAGTGACTCGCTGAACACCGGGTGTCTTTGGTCCATGTTTGGCAAGTCCACTTTCCATGCGGCTGCTCCAACCTTCTCCAATATCTTGTACGGTCCCAATCTCTTGTCGCTCATCTTCTTTGATGGTCTGTCCGTCTCGATATTTTCCCCCTCTATGTACACCTTCATCCCAACCTTCAACTCCGGAACCTCTTTTCTTTGTTTATCGTAGTATTTTTTCATTTTTTCTTTTGCTTTTTCTAGTGCTGCTTTTGCTTTGTCTTGTATTTCTTTGATTCTTTTTACAAATTCCTCTGCCAAGTCGTTTCTCAATTCCATCTGCTGCTCCACTCCCTTCCATGGGTGATATCCGTGATTCACGTAGAACAGTGATATTTTGGTAGACGTGTTCATTTTATCGTTATATGCAAACTCCGCCATTCCCAGCCACTCCAACCAGTCCGTCTGATGGTAATTGACATAGATGCGGAGATAGTGCTCAATCTCCTGATTCATGCGTTCTGTCTGCCCATCCGTGATCGGGTGATACGCGGTCCCTGGATTCATTTCTATACCCAACATCCGATTTGTCTCCTTCATGCAGCCCTTGATTTACTGTGAGTCCCTATCGATGATGATCTTGCAAGGGATCCCGTGGTAGCGGAAGACTCGGTCCCTGGTTAATTGTGCGACTCCTTCACTGCTGATGTCAGTACTAATTGGTTCGACATGGATCATTTTGGTGAAGGTGTCACACCACACATGAATTGCTTCATACCCATTACTGACCGGTAAGGGTCCAATTTGATCCATGGAGATGATTTTCCACGGTGCATTTGGGACTGCATGCAGGTGCAAAGTCCCCGTTCTTGCTCTCCTGGTCTTGGTCTGTTGGCACGCCTCGCACATCTGGATGTATTTCCGAATCTGGTTTCCCATCCTTGGCCACCAGTAGTTCCTTTCTACTATTTCCTGTGTTCGGTTGATCCCAGCGTGTCCGACCAAAGGGGTGTCGTGGTGTAGTCCAATGATCTTGTCCCGCAACTCCTCGTCTCTTGGTACATAGAGCTTCCCATGATACGTGATAAGTCCCTCTTCCTTCTTCCATCCGACAAGTGACTTCTCCAAGGCCGCTTTGACGCTGCCATCAATTGATCGAATGGCCTTGATTTCATTGATTAGCTGCTGATCCTGTCCCTCGAATGTGACTCCTTTCATTGGAAGAACTCGGGCTTCAGTAGCGTGACGTCCTTGTTGTCGTTCTTGCCCTGATCATGATCCGCTCGTCGGGACAGGAGATCCGCCTTGCGGTTGAGTGCACCGGGTCGGTGTCGTAAGGTGAAATCAAACTCCGCCAACTCCGTGATCCATCGTGCTTGCCGACGATTGAGCTTCTGCGGCTTCCGGAAGTACTCAAGATTCTGATGATCAATGAAGATCTCAAATGTTTCCGTGGCTCCCAGTAGTAGCTGCCTCCATTTGTCCAATGATAGCATGATCGCAAGCATTTCCTTGTCATAGATCTCGTAATTTCGCTCGGTTTCGGTCAATGCGTGTGAAATAAATGTGATTGGACGCCAAATGCCGTCTTGGTTTTGGCTCAAAACTGCTCCTGTTGCCCCTTCCGAAGCATCGGCTTCCAGACAATATTGGCCGGTGTCATTTGGCAGTGCTAAGACCGCATCCTCCGCGATTCTCTTCTTCAGCCCATCAAATGCTGCACGCTCATCCGTACCCCATGACCATCCTGCCTTCCCTGTCAGCCGTGTCAACGGCTTGGCAACCTCTGCGTATCCCTGGACAAAGCGTCAATAGAAGTTGGTGAACCCTAGGAAGGCTTGCACTTGTTTGACGCTCTTTGGTTCTGGCCATTCCATTATGCACGTGATCTTGACTGGGTCCATTCGCATCGAATTGTGTCCAATAATTACACCCAAATATTCGATTTCCGTGCATTTGAACTCGCACTTTTTGGGTTTCAGGTACAACTTGTGTTTTTGGAGCAGTTCGAGTACTGGTTTTGTGATCTGCCAATGTTCATCCAAGTTCTCTGTGAAGATTAGTATATCATCAAGATAAACTACCAGGTGACCCTTGTTGATCAGTTCTCGGAGTATGTCATTCATCATGTTTTGGAAGGTTGCCGGGGAGTTTGTGAGACCAAAGAACATGACCAAGGGCTTGTACAGTCTGTGGTTTGTGCGGAACGCAGCCTTCCACTCATTGCCCTCTTTGATCCGTACGTTGTTGTATCCCCACTGGATGTCAAGCTTTGTGAAGAACTTGGCGCCGCATAGATTATGCACCAGTTCGGAGATCAGCGGTAGCGGGTATTGATTTCGGATCGTCATCTTGTTCAACTTCCGATAATCTTGGACAGGCCGTAGTGAGCCATCCTTCTTTTTGACAAAGAAGAATGCTGATGCCATGGGTGATTTTGATGGCCTGGTCCATCTGCTGGCCAGGTTCTCTTGTAAGAACTCGTTGAGTTTGACCTGTTTGTTTCGTGATAACAGGTAAACCTTGCAGTCCACTGCTTTGGCGCCAGGTTTGAGCTCAATCGCATGATCCCATGCCCGTCGGTCCGGTAGCAAGTCAAACGATTCCTTGGCAAATACTTTGACAAATTCCCGATATTGATCCGGAATCTTCCCCTCGGTCATCCTCTCCTTCTCTTTTTCTGCTTCTTCTGCAAATTTCTGCGCCGGTGTTTCTTTCAGCTGTAGATCCACCTCCTTCCCAAAGTCGATCAACAGGATTGATTCTCCCTCTTCCAGATCCGGTGCACCTGTGTCCAGGTCAATTGCATCCATGTCGATCATTGCTTGGTGCTCCTTGTGACCCCTCATGTGACACCGCTCTGGGCATCGGCTAAATCTCATTGTCTGCTCCTGCCAATCCACCTCCGGGTTGTGTTCTGTCAGCCAATCAAGACCAATGAAGATCCGGGCCTTCCCTAGACACGTCAGAAGGAACATGCGTGTCTCCACATGAGGAGCGATTCTCATCCTTAGGTCAACGTAGTGGGTGATCCAACCGCTGATGTTCTCGGTGTTGTCAGCGTTACGAGCCACAATGGGTTGGGGAAGTTCTTGGATATCCAGCTTCTCTGCCCGTGCGTAGTCGGTATTGATGCAGCAGGTGCTACAGCCACTGTTGAGTAGCACCTTGACTCCGCGCGTCTTCCCTAAGTCCCGGCCCGTGATCTGAACATACACATCCATTGAATGTCTCTTCCTTTTGGCCTGGTAGTGGCGCAATTCCTGCGCCAGTCTGCTGGGCTGCGGTGATAGGCTGGCTACCAGATGCGCTCTGCACCAGCTCTGTAAGGGCGTATTTTTGCGCTTTTTACAGAGTTTACTCTCAAACCACTCGGTGTATCGTGTCGCAGTTGACAGTTTTGCGCTCAGTAGGACTTAAGGGTCCACTGCCCAGTCGACGACTGTGGATAGTGTCGACGATAGCAAGGCAGTCAGACCACTACTGTGGAATTGGTCTTATGAGTCCACACCAGGCTCAGGGCTATTAGTGACGAACGCTTGCACCGCAACAATTGCCCAAAAGGGATCTTTTGTTGCGGCGACTTCACAAAAGGGGTCATTCTCTGCAGGTGGGAACTTGGGCTGAAGGGCTGAGCAATGCGCGACGTTCTCAATAATAGAACTACTACTGGACAGGACTTGGCGTTACAAGACTTAAACCGATCTTGTCGCGGCAACTCCCAGTTTTGGGTTAGATGTTTCCTCAGATCATGCCACGGCGACGACTTGTCACATGTCAGGATGCACTCGATCACGGGACATTGTGGATGTGTTGCGGTGACACTTCCAAGTGTCACGGCAAGTCACGTCCATGCCCAAACACACTAAAATCGACACGGGCTAGATCCGTGAACCAAACCATGTGAGAAACGTCTGGTGTGCCTGGGGCCATACGGCTTCTTGGGGCACCCACGTTGGACTCACCTGCCAAGACATACCTGTTGGCCAATCCAGCACGTCGTATTCCAAAAGTATGATGCGGTGGGTTGACCCACATCAAAAGTATCATATGGGCTATGGGGCGGGGTCCTGATCACTCAGGACCTGTCCGATTGTCCAACTTTTCATTACTCAAAAAGGCAACCGATCTTAGATAGCGTAGCTACTATGCAGTTGTACAGGACTTTACTAAGTGTTGTTGTAGGCAGTAGAAGTAGCACATTGTTTCTTTGTATTAGAAAGCTTTCCCCCGGACTGTGAATCACTCTCATATCAGTGTAAGGGCAACCTCGAGGCCCGATCTCAGAGTCCTGACAAGGGAGAGTCCAAAGCGTCAGATAAGGGGATCGACTAGTACAGGAGACTGGCAAACCTGACAAGGGAGAGTCCAAAGAGAAACCGAGTTGGGGACTCTCCTTGTCAGGGCCCAATATATATAGCCTACGGAACAATGGATGACGAAGCACAATGGAAGCGCCAGACAATGGGGCCAGGGAACAATGAGGGGCCGGATCGGGGGGAACAATGGGAGCCGGACCGTCGGAACAATGGGGGTGCGGGCCGGAGTGTCATGTGGACGCGCTTGGCAGGGAAGTCCGGACTGAAGCATGTGACGCTTGACAGATGGCACGTGCGCGGTCACATGCGAGATCCCATGATGATCGGACGAAAGCAGGGGTTCCCCTGACAATCAGATTGTCTTGTACAATTTGCGTGCCGCGTGATTCCACCCTAAGAAGTTCTGCCACCCTTGCCCGGTCGCAACGAGTTGCTCCCCAGAGCACTTGTAGCTACTGTGATTTGGGTTTTGAGTTGAGATATCAGAAAGTCGGACTCGCCGCTTCTGGTTTAGTTGCGGCATTGAGTGTCGTCGCCTTTGGGCATTGTTGAGATCGTTTCCACACCTCTAGTTTGGCAGTGCGTCGACTAGTTGTGCTCGGGTTGCTTTGGTCAGTTGGCAGTGCGTCGACTTGAGAACTTTGGTTTCACACTTTTTGCTTGGCAGTGCGTCAACAAGTTGTGCTTGGGTTTTGGACATTGGATATTGGCTGTTAGTTGGCAGTGCGTCGACGTGGCATTTTGGTTTACTAGTTGGCAGTGCGTCGACTCAGTATATTGGTTGTATCAGTTGGCAGTGCGTCGACTTGATATTTGGGCTTTGCGTCGCCATCTGGACACTGTCGCTACAAGGGATCTTAATACTTTGTATTAAGTTCTGACTTGTGATATTGTTGGTTGTGGATTGGATTAGTGTTGGTTGTGTTCGTATAGAAGATATTGGTTGAGATACCATTGTTTACTATATATATATTCTTGTCGTTGACTTCGTCTCCGCGACTATTGGATCTGCGTCTATTGAGAGTTGTGATACTGGTGCTCTGTCCACCCCGAAGCCCTCGCATCTTTCACACACTGAGAAGCTGATTACGAGGAGTGTGAACGTGTTTGTATTTGGGTTTACTTTCGTAGTAGATTCACTTGTGAGCACGCCCTCAGCATTTCATCTGGAGCCCACCGCGAGGGGCTTCTAAAGTTTCACAAACTTTAAAAATCAATCAACCGGATTCTTTTCCGCGACGTCGGATAGAGACCAAGGGTTTATCCCGCGAAGCAGTTTATTTCGATCCCAAGCTCCTGCGCGACCTCTTGAGGACCAAGCGGAGATTGAGACTGAAGGAAACGCTTCAACTTCAGGACCTTTCGAAAAACCACGAAGGTCTGCAAGACATAAAACACCTTTGTATCTACCACCCTTGCCTTTCAAGGCAAAAGGAAAACAAAGAGTGAATTCGACGTCGAAGCTTCCAGCTTTAGACGCGGCTACTTCGAGTTCGACGACAATCAGTCGATCTCAGACTAGCTCACAAACCCTCTCAGAATTGTCTAGTAGCGTCACCGCTACAAACACAAATTCTAACAACATCCCTACTTCCCCTGTGACTTCAGTCGCGACAACTATGGCTCCAAAGACTGGGTTCAAAATCCCTCAACCTTGGGACACAAGTAGACCTATACTTGATGAAAAGGATCCCCTGTCGATTGAGGCATATTTGCGTCACTGCGCGCAGATCGTAGAGGATGGAGGCATCACAGATGTCAAACAAGCAAAAAGCATGTACATTCGTTATTTGCCGTCGCGGCAAGTGATGGACGTATGGGAAGGTCTCGATACCTATTCCGACGACACAAAAACTGTCGTGGAGTTCGAGGCCGAAATATTAAAAGGATACCCTGAGGTGTCCAAGCGAAAAACGGGGACCATGGCGGATCTAGATAGACTCTGTCGCGAGAACCGTGGAATCAAAATCACGGATGAGGGAGATTTGAAGCGTTTTGGCCTTCAAATGTATAGTCACTACAAGCGACTGTCAGTCCCTCCTGCCATTATTACCAACAAAGTCGCGTGTGAACGCTACATGCGTACTTTGGACTCTGAGTTCAGTACCGTCTTGCGGAATGCTTTGGCTACGAGTCAAGTATTCAATAAGCGCTACCAAACTCGCGCCGGGATAGCAAACGCTAATGTCCCCGCGACTGGAGTCAACCGGCAGGACGACCCCATCCAGCTGAAAGAGCTAATGACAATGGCGGGCGTCGACGTTCAGTAACGAAGACGAAATTCCCATAATCGCGTGACCTCCCAAGGTCCGCTTCGACTATGAGACCAGTCCACCCAACCATGCTAAGGTTGAGGAGTTGGAAAACTCGATTTCCAACTTGAAGGACTCATTCCTTCTACACCAAAAAGAGCTACAGACTCAGTTGCAGGAAGCGCTGAAGACGTTCGTACAGACGGCTCGCGAAGCGCCTATACAGCGGTCGCGGCCAGTAGGCAACAACCCTTCTGTGCCCCACTTTGAAAGTCGCGCACAAGGAGGAGCTGCCGCACGGAACGACGACTGTTGCTATTGTGGACAAACTGGTCACTGGTCGAACGAGTGCCTGCTCAAGAGGTCTCACATTGAGAAAAACCTTCTCAAAGTCGACACCAAAGGGATGTGGAGGCTCTTCGACGACAGCTTCTTACCAAATGGAGAAGGGACTCAGGGGCAACGAGTAGAGGCTTATTGGAAGAAGAAGGGCAAGTCCGTCAACTTCCAAGACTCCTACTACTTGGATCAGTTCGATAGCCGCGACAATGATGATATGTCCGACTACCCTGAAGAAGTGGCAGATGAGATACGCTCCCTTCGAAGTCAACTCATCCAATATGAGAAGAAGTCGTCGCGGCCAACCCCAGAGAGTCGCGCTGAGCCAAAGACTCAAAGAGCTGCATCTGGTTCAACCAGCAATGCAATGGAAAGTGTCATGGGCCAATTCATGCAGAAAGCCATGACCGACGCCATGGCCGGCTACTTCAACAACATGAACAGTGGTTATCCTCAGACTCAGGAGCAGTTCATTCAAACCCGTCGTGGTGCGAATAGCCAACCTGAGCGCGACGATAACAACTCGGGTTTCTAAATGGTTCAAGGAAGGGGGCTAAACCCACAAACTCAGCCAAGCCCTCTGAGGACCATGATAAACGAGCTGAGCAACGAGAGAAACCGAGGAAACCTGTGATTATTGAGGAAGTTAGTGATAGCGACGATGATGAGGAATCAGTGCGCGACAACACCGAAAAGAGAAAGGAACTACCGTTTGAGAAAGTCAAGCCCGTTCTACAAGAACCAGTACATTCTTCAAAAGCGCGCGTTCCAGATAAATACCAGTTGCGTGCACCAATTCAAAAGAAGGCTGTGGCAGAAGCAGTCTACGACAAAATGAAAAACGCGTCAGTCGACGTCACTGTGGGTGAACTCCTAGCAGTTTCGGGGACTGTCCGCGACTCCATTCTGAAGGACTCTTCGAAGAAACGAGTACCGGTTCAGAAGTCCATGCTTCAAGAAACTGGTCGCGTCGTTGAAGACGTTTGGGATGGAGAACTGAGCTACAACCTAGTCAGTGCTAAGGAATTGCCCGAACCTGTGTTCTATCATAACACAGTTGAAGGAGAAATTCCCATTGGCGCAGTTGTCGCGACGGATCCATATGAGATGTACTTGGAGTCGATACCCTCTAATGAGAACCCAAGACATGTCTATGTTGGTGATTCGTCGGCTGCTCTCAGAACGATAAACGGACGGATTAACGCGCGTCTCGACGCGGACTGCATCCTAGACAGTGGATCTCAGATTGTATCGATGGCTTTCTCAGAGGCCGTCGACGCACAATTGAGCTGGGACCCAAAAGTTGTCATCTATATGGAAAGTGCAAATGGATCTATCTCTAAGTCACTGGGATTAGCGAGAAATGTACCCTTCAGGTTTGGGACCATCCTGGTCTACCTGCAGGTGCACATTTTGGAAAGCCCAGCTTACAAGGTGTTACTCGGCAGACCGTTTGATATCGCGACAGAAAGCAATATCAAGAACGCGGCTGATGGCAGCCAGATAATCACCATGCGCGATCCCAATTTAAAAACACGTTGTGCAATGGCTACGCAGCCACGTCGTGCAGACGACTTGCCGCGTAACACCAAAAACAACAACGGATCTACCGAGCCCTACAGTTCGTCGAAACCGACGACCAGTCCAGACGAACCGAACCCTGAACGGGATTTTCAAAGAGCTTCGAGGAATTGACCGCGTTGAGTCAAGGAGAAGAAGTCGCAGTGACTGTGTCGTTGGGAAAAGATGGGAATGTAGTGTTCGAGGATCTAAGAAAGCCGCATTCTAGTGGCCAGTTTACCCAAACTGAGCTAGTAGAAACATATATCTTGTCGTCGAAAGAGGACAAGGAAATGAAGAAAGACGTCGCTGCGTCGACCTTGTTTCATTCATATATGAATGAAAGACTCTCAGACGCGGCCATGGAAAAACTGACTGTTGGTACTTGGAGTGTACTAGACGACAACTCTTCTAGTCGCGACAAATACTCTGTGTTCGCAGGAAAGAAATACAAACCTGTGGACCAGAAGGTCAGACCAGTGTACACTATGGGTTCTGAGGACGACCGAATAATTCGAGAAATGGTGGGAGATCCTTTGGACACGCTACCTACTCTAAACCCGCGACCACCTGATTTTACCCCAACTGGTAGATTCACGGCGGAACGCAGGGATATTGTGGACAAGTTACACAAAGGAGACTTCTTATTGCCAGAAGAACGGAAGTTGCTCCTGCACTTCTATATGCTTCACAATCAGAGTTTCGCGTTCAATGATGAAGAGCGTGGCGCATTAAGACAGGATATATTTCCTCCTGTCAAGATCGCGACAGTTCCCCATACAGCATATCGCGAAGGGAATATTCCTATACCTCGCGGTATGTTTGACCAGGTGTGCAAGGTCATTAAAGACAAAATCGCGGCCCAGGTCTACGAGCCTTCCAATTCCTCTTATCGGAGCAAGTTCTTTGCTGTACTTAAGAAGGATGGGAAGAGTATCAGACTGGTGCACTCGCTAGAACCACTCAATGCGATTACTATCGCGCATTCAGGATTGCCACCCGCGACAGAGGAGTTAGCAAACCACTTCGCCGGTCGCGCCTGTGGTGCTGCGCTAGATTTGTACTCAGGCTACGACCAGCGTGACATCGATCCAGCTAGTTGCAACTTGACTACATTCCAGTCACCGTTTGGTGCACTGAGGTTGGTCAAACTCCCACAAGGATGGACCAACTCAGTACCCATATTCCATGAGGACGTTACTTTCATTTTGAAAGACGAAATCCGTCATGTTACTATTCCATACATCGACGACGTACCCGTTCGAGGACCTGGAACCAGGTATCTGTTACCCGATGGAACCTGTGAAACGATTCCAGAAAATCCTGGGATCCGTCGCTTCGTATGGGAGCACTTTCAAAATGTGAACCGTGTCGTGCACAGGATCGGCTACTGTGGCGCGACTCTGTCTGGTACCAAGTCGGTGGTTTGCGCCGACGAGTTTGCTGTGGTTGGCCATATCTGTTCGTTCGAAGGTAGAAAACCTGACGTGGACAGAGTTGGTGTAATCATGCGTTGGCCAGACTTGAGAGATGTCTCGGAAGTTCGACAATTCATGGGCACGATTGGGGTCATGCGAATGTTCATTAGGGGATTTTCTGAAATGGCGCGACCAATTCAGAGGCTAGTGAACAAGAACGCGCATTTTGAATGGGGTGACAAACAGAAGCTCGCGTTTCAAAGACTTAAAGACGCGATACAAGTCTGTCCGTCGCTTAAGCCTCTGAACTACGAGTGGGACTCCGAGATTGTCGTCGCAATAGACACATCCTGGATGGCCGCGGGTTTTGAAATCTACCAGCGCGACCCAGATGATCCGAAGAAAGTCTATTACGCGAAATTTGGGAGTATCCCGCTCACAGAACGAGAAGCTAGGTTTTCTCAACCGAAGCGTGAACTTTATGGCGTGAAGCGCGTGCTTCAAGCCATGGCTCACTGGCTTCTTGGTTGTAGGAAATTGGTAGTCGAAACCGACGCGCTGTACTTGGCAGGCATGCTAAGGAACGTTGGTAACCTACCAAATGCAAATATCAACCGTTGGGCTGAGGAGATCCTCATGTTTCAATTTACCTTGAAACATGTCAGAGGAATCACCTTCTCACCAGATGGCTTGTCGCGACGACGACCTGCACCTGGAGATGAAGAGTATCCCAATGACGAAGAGGAAATCTTCGACGAGCCACCACCAGAGAACAACGAAAATTGGGACTACGACACAGAACAACCATTAGACTTTGAAGAGTTCAAAAGGGATATTGACACCAGAGGTGGCTACCTTAACTCTATGGTCGGGTGTGCTGAGTCAGTCGACAACATATCCAAAGAGCTAGTCGAAGCTTGCGACTCTCGTCGCTGAAATGCTGAGGGCGTGCTCACAAGTGAATCTACTATGAAAGTAAACCCAAATATAAACACGTTCACACTCCTCGTAATCAGCTTCTCAGTGTGTGAAAGATGCGAGGGCTTCGGGGTGGACAGAGCACCAGTGTCACAACTCTCAATAGACGCAGATCCAATAGTCGCGGAGACGAAGTCGACGACAAGAATTTATATATAGCAAACAATGGTATCTCAACCAATATCTCCTATACGAACACAACCAACACTAATCCAATCCACAACCAACAATATAACAAGTCAGAGCTTAATACGAAGTATTAAGATCCCTTGTAGCGACAGCGTCCAGATGGTGACGCAAAGCCCAAATATCAAGTCGACGCACTGCCCACCTTGGACACCCCACATTTGTACCTCGAGAGGTACCTTTTTGAGGCCCAAACAAGGTACCTCAGTGGTAGTGGGCGGCTGTGGGCTGGGCGGCTGCTGGGCCCCCCCCAATGCTCTGGGCGGCCCCACTCAAAAATCCATGGGCGGCCAGTGGGCGGCCTTGGGCGTGCCCATGGCTCCCGGGGTCCTGATAGCGCGCGCAGTGCCCGAAAATTTTCTGTTTTTTTGGCCTATTTGGAAAGTAAAAGTCATGTATATTTTTGCAACCTACGCAATAATACTGGCATAGAATGTAACATATGACTTGTATTTATGAACATATTATGAATGTAACATGACTTATTCTTTCTCTTAAGGATATATCAAGTCACTATTTTGTAGGCTTATGGACTCGAAGAAAAAAAATCCTTATCTTGTGCGCTTTATGACTTGAGTGAATGATGCATACAGATGTTTTTTATATTCTCTTTCGAACGTAGATATATTCTCAGCGACAGATGATTCCTGAGCACAGGAAAAATGTATGTGACATATTGACGCCTAGGCAAGTGTGAGCCCGCCCACAGAGTTATGGGCCCGCCCAAGGAAAGTGTGGGCCCGCCCGCCTATTGCCAAGATTACTATGGGGCCGCCCATATCGGTTAGATAATTACGGGGCCGCCCATATCGCTTAGATGATCATGGGGCCGCCCGCCAATTGCCAAGATAATTACGGGGCCGCCCATATCGGTTAGATAACTATGGGGCCGCCCGCCAATTGCCAAGATAATTACGGGGCCGCCCATATCGGTTAGATAACTATGGGGCCGCCCGCCAATCGCCAAGATAATTACGGGGCCGCCCACCAGTGCCAAGATAATTATGAGCCTGCTTCTGGACGCTAAGACAAGTAATCCCAAGTCTTGTATTATTTCATACCTTCACTAGAGCACTCGATTACAATTTTCTTTTGCCCGCTTGAGATTTACAGTGCTGACGTACAACAGAGGCCCATAACTCATTTCCATTTTCAATGGGCAATCGCCGTATCAGTAATTGTCCCAAAAGATTCCACTCTATGTGTTATGGACAGTACAGAGCAAATACGCTCTTCTCTAGTTGACAAAGGCTCGCTGACAGATGGTCGTAACGTAGGACGACTCGCTGGGCTCTCCTTCTATGTAATTGTCTCTCCCCACATTGCCGTTAACACTCCTGCCAACGTCGGTGATATCTGGAGGTAGCAACCCACTGGGTAAGTCACGATCTGTAATGTATGAGTAAACACGGTAGCTTTCATGGCATAGGTAGCTCAACTCACCAGGGAATTGTTGTACGAGGCGCTCGAGCTTCTCTAATACCTGCCACAGTAAGTGAAATCTGACCTTCTCTGAATATTCCATGACTCTTTTCAGCACGTCGATGACTCTGCGGCACTCCGCCTCGTGATAGTTTCGTCGGCGAACCTCTTCAGGAGTACTGTAGGCTGGATCCCGAAAGTCTTGGGGCCCAAGATCCTTGCGAAAGGATTCCTTGTACCACAACATGATTATATCATGGATGGCAATACGCAGGTCCTGGCGCGAAGTTGGAAGGTAGAATACGTCGGGAAAGCTTTCGTCCTTGATGACCCGGTTCCTCGCTAGAAAAGAGTTCAATTAGCTAGCCACCACTCTGAGAAACCCAGCGGCAACATCCCCGCGTGGAGGGGGCAGTTGCTGTTTGAGAGATCGATAGCGCCGGATATCGCGCATTGACACTGGAATGGCTGGTCAGTGCCAAATCTTCAACAGTAAACTATTCATTCCGCAGACCTTGCCGATATGATCGTCCCCCTCAAGTTCCACTGCGTCGCAGCCTTTACAAAGACTCGATGATGATTCGAAAGAACCATCCACAACCCGATACTCTGCCCCATACCATCTCGGGATATGCAAGCGACACTCAACGCAATCCACCCAAAGGTGCTTAGGCGAAGAGGCGCGATACTGCGTCAAGGAGATGAGTTGATACTGTTGAACCGCACAGCCCAAAATCTCTTTGCGACGTTCGCAGTCGTTGGTGACGAGCTGGACGTGGACCCGCAACTTCCGAGGGCGAATGACTCGCGCTATATTCTGCGGTATCGTGCTTTTGACGAGACAGAGGTCATTGCGCCCCCGAACGATGTCGGCAGGGGATCTTGGTGTGGTCGGCGACATGGAGGCTCGCATAAAGGAGATTCGAGTTCAGGGAGTAAGGGTGGAGACTTTTGACGAGCTTTGCAAAGAAGTTATTGTGACCGCTAAAAATGCATGTCAATCTCGATTAAACTGATGCGGATGTACCTCACCAAACAGCAGATTCCACGTATTCCTTCACCCCAAGGAGATACATAGTCACCCCACGCATACAAAGTTCTGTGGGTTTATAGATTACCATAGCCACGCGC